CAGTGAGAGATCCACACATTTCAGGACAGAAAGGGGATCAGTGCAGAAGAAAGGTAACGCATTTTCTTTCTGGACAAAAAGATATTCCTTTACTTTAATATGCAAATAAAGCATATCGATATTGAACCAAGGTCAAAAGGGAGCTTCACTCCTTTACACACCTCTGTGGGCATTTGTACGGGGATTCCTAACTCAGAGTGACATTTTAATAACCAAATCTAACAGCAGTGAATAGGAGGAGGCAGAGCAAGAGAGAAAAGGAACCAAGGGAAATAGAGACCTATGGTGACAAAAGCATAAACTGCAAAAGCATAAAATGAATAGTATCTGTTCTCCCCCACCACCTGCTGATAGTCTGTATGGCAGCAAGAAGACAATTACTGCTTCCCTCCTCTGAGAATCATCATGGAATAATGTCTGAAATCAATTGCAAATAATCAGTATGGATGATTACGCTCCTCTAATGGTTACTTCACCTGGAAGCCTGTGTAGTAAAGAAGTTAACTTTGCCCCAAAAGAGGTCTGGCCTTTGACCTTGGCTTCTGGGAGGTAATCTCTAATGTCAGGCCTGATATGAGATTCTTTGTCTGGGCATTGGGTCACTAGATAGTATAATAATGTGATATATGGTCGCAGCTGACCATAACAGAAAATCCAGCAATGTATATATTAATATTTAGAGTAGGGGCTTTGGGTCATGCTATGTCAGACAACCTGGAGACTGAGATGAATCACAAGGGCAATGAATCTATCAATCATGCCTATGTAATAGAGCTCCAATAAAATCTCTGAACAGTGAGGCCTGAGTCAATTTTCCTGGTTGGCAACATTCTATGTGTATTGTCGCACATCAATGCCAAGAAAGTAATGCATCCTGAATCTGTGGAGAGAGGACAATTGAAGTCCCGTGTTTGATGCTTCCCTGGACTCCATCCTATGTGTTTTGTTCCTTGGCTGATTTTAAACTGTATTTTTTTCAACAATAAACCATAATCATGAGTATAGTAGATTTCAGTGAGTTCTGTGAGTCCTTCTGAAGGTGTGGTACCCCACACCCGGGCTGTGGATCAGTACCAGTTTGTACCCTGTTAGGAACCGGGCTGCACAGCAGGAGGTGATCAAGCGTCACCACCTGAGCTCTGCCTCCTGTCAGTTCAGTGGCAGCGTTGGATTCTCACTGGAGCACAAACCCTACTGTTAACTGTGCATGGGAGGAATATAGGTTGTGTCCTCTTTATGAGAAACTAATGCCTGATGATCTGAGGTGGAGCTGAGGCGGTGATGCTAGCGCTGGGGAGTGGCTGCAAATACAGATTGTCATTAGCAGAGAGGTTTGATTGCATAATAAATGTAATGCGCTTGAATCATCCTAAAACAATACCCCCAGCCTAAGTCCTTAGAAAAATTGTTTTCCATGAAACCGGTTCTTGGTACCAAAAAGGTTGGGGACCACTGTTCTAGAGAATTATTGAATCTGAGAATGGTTTTGGGATCCCCACAAACTTGGTGTCAGAAGTGAGGGAAATCTTATGTGGATTGTGCGTACCCTTTACTTTTGCAGTTGGCTAAACTTCTTGCAAAGCTGCACTCCTAACTTTTTTAAAACTTACTTACACATGTGCATGTGTATATACATACATTATGGTATCTTGATTGCTTTATGAGAGTAAAATTGGTGGGGACAGGAAAAAATTTCATCTAGTTTACTGCTTCCATATTGTTTTACATCTTTATAAGTATGTATTACTTTCATAATAAAAACATTCAAAAATTTTAAGAGTCTCATCTTTTTAGCATTACCCCTTTATAAAGCAAGAAATACTGTGGAAGAGGAAGATGATTTACAAAGATAACAGAAATACTGAATTTGGAAACCAATCATAGAAATACATAATTAAGGTGAAATTATGCACTATACATTATAATTTATTTTAATCCTTGGCAATATTTTTGAAAAGTATACTGAATTGGGCAAATAATGTGTCTGATTTTGAATAGCAATTAGGTTATTTAAACTGTAATTAGAATTTTAAAAGAAATCATCAAAATTTCTCTAAATATGCATGCTGAGTCATAATATTGCCTTTTGGAAACTACATCCAAGTACTATTTAAATAAAGCTTTGGAAAGTTTCATTAGTTTATTTCTATGCATAAATTGGACAAAATAGAGGTCTTTAGTCTGAGAAAAAACCTCCTCGGAATGCCAATTTTGGAGCTAAAATAAAATAAGCACTTGGAAATAGTATTTGGAGATGGAGTTTAGCAAGCATAGAGAACACATAAAATAAAATAAAATAGCATTTGTTGATTTCTCCCTTTCTTCCTCCCTCTCTATCTCATGAGTGAGGGTGAGGTGGGGCTCCATTCTTAGGCCAAAAGTGTAACTGTTTTATGATGTCAAAGACAAAACTGTGTCATGTCGCGCCCGCCTCGCCAGCAAGGAAGACGCGGCAACCGGAGTTCTTCTGACAGCGCTTTATTGGGGAATCTGAAGGTGACTAAAGCGGAAGACCCTGAGGAGCTCTCCGAGCGGGCTTATATAGGCACTGAGTACATTAGGCAGAATCTGATTGGCTCACGCAAGAGCCCTCATTAGCATACTTGCTGAGAGACAGAAAAAAGCCCCTACACATGCGCGGTTCACCCTGTTTATCAGTCTTGTGGTATGGGTGTGACCAGGAAGTCGGCGCCATCTTGCAATGGCGTTGACACCGCGCCCCACAGTGTCAGAGACAAAATTAGCAAAAATTGTTTACTCATAAACAGATCAAGGGAACTTATTTGTCATCACTTTTCGGCAGGAATTCTAAGGTGACAGAAAGAGTATGTTTTCCAGAGTAAAAAAGGAAACACAGTCTCTGATTGGGAGGCATTCTATTAAGGTGCGACTTTTGGAAGGGGAGGCAACTTTCTATGTGGTCTTCAGGCATTCTTTGGTTGGTTTCCAGGGGGCAAATGAGCAGTCTGGGACCACTACAAAAATGGAAGGAGTGTTTATCATTAAGGGTGTGGGTTTTATATAGCTGACTGATTCCTGGAACAAGTGGTGGTAAATGGAATGCCTTTTTTGAGAGCAAACTACCATAATGGTCCTTATGGGGTAGAGGCAGAAATGGCTACCATGGCGGGCAGTTTCTCAATGAAGACAGGGTTGGACATCAGCTACTACTCCAGAGTGAATCACTGGCCTCTTTCTCCTTTTCTACATTTTCTTCTGCGACACCTTCCTTATTCACTCTACACTGAGCAGTTTGATCTTCCTTCTGATCCTTAAACTCACTACTATCAGTTCCTGCCTTGGAGCCTCTGGTCTCATTCTTTTCTCTGCCTGGAGTGTTCTTCTCCCAGATCTTCACATGGCTGAATCTTCCTTATACTCGTGCCTTAGAGACACATTACTAACTCACCCTATTTAAACCAACCATTTGAAGGAAGGGACGAGGAAGAAGAAAATTATATTCAAATTTACTTGTGTATGCATAGAAACGTTCTGGAAGTATGCCTGAGAATCCAACAATAGCAGTTACTTCTGGGAAGGTACAGTGGGAACAAACTGAGAACACACATGGAGGTTAGCATAAGAGGGGGAGTTTTACTGTATATCTCTTTAGACATTCTGATTTTAGAACCATGTAAATGAATTACCTATTCAAAATATTTTTAAAAACTGCAAATGCATTACCATAAATAGCAGCCATTTAGCCAGCCATCATCATTGTATCTTATGTACCTGTATGCATGTGTGTGTGTTCTCTTTTATGTCTGAAAAGAACTTTATTCTACCTTAGTAGAAAGTTAATAATTTGTCTGTATATAGAAATCTAAACTGAAAATAATTTTAGCATGAAATTTTGAATATATTTTTCTTCACTGTATTTTGTTTTATTTTTGTGACAGAGTCTCACTCTGTCACCTGGGCTATAGTGGCATGGCATCAGCCTAGCTCATAGCAACCTCAAACTCCTAGGCTCAAGCAATCCTTCTGCCTCAGCCTCCCGAGTAGCTGGGACTACAGGAGCACATGATCATGCCTGGCTAATTTTTTCTATTTTTAGTGAAGATGCAATCTCACTCTTGCTCAGGCTGGTCTCAAACTCCTGGCCTCAAGGGATCCTTCCACCTCACCCTCCCAGAGTGCTAGGATTACAGGCATGAGCCACTGCCTGACCTCTTTATTGTTTTTTAGCACCCAGTGTTCCTGGTAAGAAATTGAATGCTCTTTTCCTTCTTCTTTTTTTCTTTCTTTCTTTTCTTTTTTTTTCTTTTTTTTCTGTCTTTCTCTTCTCTCTTTCTCTTTCTTTCTTTCTTTCTTTTTCTCTTTCTTTTTTTCTTCTTCTTTCTTCTTTTCTTTCTTCTTTCTTTCTCTTTTCTTCTTCTTTCTTCTTTCTTTCTCTTCTTTGTTTCAATAGGTGATCTGTCTTTTTCCCCCCTCCCCTTTATGAGAGAATTTTTTATCCCTATAATTTTTTCCCTATAATTTATTCCTATAATTTTTTCCAATGTTTTTTATTGTGGTAAAATACACATAAGGCAAAAGTTACCATCTTAACTGGGTTTTTTGAGACAGAGTCTGGCTCTGTTGTCCAGGCTAGAGTGCTGTGGTGTCAGCCTAGCACACAGCAACCTCAAACTCCTGGGCTCAAGCAATCCTCCTGCCTCAGCCTCCCAAGTAGCTGGGACTACAGGCATGCGGCACCATACCCAGCTATTTGTTTCTATGTATTTTTAGTTGTCCAGCTAATTTCTTTCTATTTTTTAGTGGAGACGAGGTCTCGCTCTTGCTCAGGCTGGTCTTGAACTCCAGACCTTAAGCCCCCACCTTGGCCTCCCAGAGTGCTAGGATTATAGGCGTTAGCCACCTCTCATGATCCATCTTAACTGTTTTTAAGTGTACTGTTCAGTGGTATTAAGTAATTTATATTGTTGTACAACCATCACCACTATCTATCTCCAGTACTATTTTTGTCTTGCAAAACTGAAAAAAACCTTTTTTTGGGGGGGTACCCAATTTCTTTATTTGAAGGAATGGTACAAATGAAAGAACTTAAGTGGATGTTTGGAACAACTTACAGAAAAGGTAAAGGAAACCCCGACATGCATGTACTGCCTGGGTGACCATGGAAGTCACCCCGTGGCTATGGGGAAGTTAGCCTAAGGCTTAGCTCTTATCACTGTCTCCCAGGGTGTGCTTGTCAAGGAGATACTTCCTCATGCCAGATTCAGGGCCTCCCATCTTGCGTAGGTTGGTTACATGGTCACCCAATTCTTTGATGGATTTCACCTGCTCATTCAGGTAATGGGTCTCAAGGAAGTTACACAAGTGGGGGCCATTTTTGTCAGTGGCCAGTTTGTGCAGTTCCAGTAGTGACTGATTCACACTTTTCCCCAAGTGTAATGCACACTCCATTGCATACAGCCGACTCTCCCAACCATCATGATCTGGTTTCTGAATGTCCTGAGGGAAGATTCGGCCACCTTGTTGGTTCTGCAGCTTCATCAGTTTCTCAGCATGTTCCCTCTCCTCATGAGATTGGTGAAGAAAGTATTTGGCAAAATTCTTCAAAGCCACATCATCATCTATGACATTAAACAAGTCTTTTCTTCCCCTAGTCGTTGGCAACCATCATTCTCTTTCTGTGTCTAAGAATTTGACAGCTCTAGGTATCACAAATAAGTGGAATCTTTCAGCATTTTATACATCATGCTTTGATAGCACTTTTCAGCAATTCCTCATGTATTCATTTGTTTATGGTTGATTTCTTTCATTGTGTTTTTTTTTCTTTCCTTTTTTTCTTTTTTTTTAACTTTTTGTAGAGACAGGGTCTCACTATGTTGCCCAGGCAGGTCTCAAACTCTTGGCCTCAAGCCATCCTCCTGCCATGACCTCCCAAAGTGCTGGAATTATAGGCCACTGCTCCCAGCCTTGTTCATTGTGTTTTGCCTCCCTTGAGAGCAGAGACTTTGCTTTTCTGCTCAACTCTGTATCCTCAGAACTGAGAGCAATGGTTGGAATAGAGCAGAAGGTGAGTCAATACATGCTAACCAGTACCCAACATGGCAGTTCTGCAGGAGGAATTTCCTACACCACCTTTCCAGAAGACATGTGGGCCTCACAGACATTAACATACCAACTGCCTGGGATGTGAAGTGGACTTGGTGTTTTGCTGTCTATGTAAGATTTAGAACACAGTAACCAAAATAAGCCTCCATTTAGCATAATTAGGGTCAAACCAGTACTAAACGACAGCTTGGGAACATTCTTATAATGAGAAATCTTTAAGTGGAGTTTGTTAGTTGGCAAAGTATTGGTCTTTGTCTTCTATCTTGTCTTGAAGTGGAAGAGTATTCTACAGTTATCAGATAAATACCATTATATTCTTGTCTTTGTAGAACTTGGGCTATGACCTTGTTAGAATGCAAGTTTTCTATTCTTTCTGAGGTATAGTTAGGCTACATGGAGGGTCAGCAGCATTTTCTTATTTTAGGCTTTGTGGGCCATATGATTTCTGTTACTCCTTTCTGCTCTTGTACAAAATCAGCCTTAGATAATAGACAATAAATATAGAAATTAGCATGGCTGTGTTCCAATAATATTTTATTTATGGATTCTGAAATATGAATTTTATATAATTTTATGTCATAAATATTATGCTTCTTTTGATTTTTTTCTAACAATTTAATAAAGATCATTCTTAGACTATAGGCTATACAAAAACAGGTGGTGGGCCAGATTTGGCCCCTGGCCAGGAGTATGCCCACTCTTGGACTACTGTTACTACCTTAAAGGAAGGCTTACTTGGAAAATGTAACATAATTCCCAGATAGTGTAGGGGACACAGAAGGCAATAATATAGGCGCTTACATTTCATTGAGTGTAGATGTTTTTGAAGTCAATGAGAAGAAAAGTACTTTATTCCTTTATAAAGGATGTTTGAGAAGGAATATCAACAATTTAAATGATTTTGACTTACAACCTTTTTTAAAGGATGCAAAAAGGTGAAGAAGAAAATAAGACTATGGAGGCATGAAGTAGCTATAATCTCAGATGTGCTTCTGGAAAATCACCGTGAGTGAGTTTCCACTATATATATATACCACTATATATATAAATGCAATGATAAACTAAACATGCCATCAGTAGGTATTCTATTTTAATTGTTATAGATTTAGGGAATATGAGTATAGTTTTGTTACATGGACATATTGCATAGTTGTGAAGCCTTGGCTTACAGTATACCCATTACCCAAATAGTGTACATTGTACCCAGTTGGTAATTTTTCATCCCTCACCCTCTTCCTACCCTCTCACCTTTTGGAATCTCCAGTGTCTGTTATTCCACTCAGTATGTTCATGTGTACCCATTGTTTTGCTCCCACTTATAAATGAGAACATGTGGTATTTGATTTTCTGTTCCTGAGTTGCTTCACTTAGGAAAATGGTGTCCAGTTTTATCCAAATTGCTACAAAAGACATGATTTCATTCTTTTTTATGGCCAAGTAGCAGTCCATGGTATATATACACCACATTATTTTTATCAAATCATTGGTTGATGGACATTTAGTTTGCTTCCATGTCTTTGCTATTGTGATTAGTGTTGCAAGAAACATCTGAGTACAGGTATCATTTTGATATAATGATTTCTTTTCCTTTAGGTAAATACCCAGTAGTTGGATTGTTAGATCGAATAGTAGATGTATTTTTAGTTCTTTGAGAAATCTCTATACTGTTTTCAACAGAGGTTGTACTAATTTGTATTCCCACCAACAGTATATAAGCATTTCCTTGTCTCCACAGCCTCGCCAAAATCTATTGTTTTTTGGCTTTTTATTAATGGCCATTCTGACAGGAGTAAGATGGCATCTCATTGTGGTTTTAATTTGCATTTCTCTGATGATTAGTGATGCTGAGTATCTTTTCATATGTATATTGTCAATTTGTATGTCTTCTTTTGAAAAATGTTCATGCCCTTTGCTCACTTTTTAATGGGGTTATTTGTTTTTTCTTATTGAATTGTTTGATACCAGTGGGTATTAACATTATCTTCACTCTCCAAAGAAATTATTCTAGGACTAAAGTTAGATACTAGCTGCAAAGCCTTCATTTAGTAAAGTAGAATAAGCTGTTGCCTTTCTTACTGGAAAGGAAAAATATCATGTCACATTGGTTGCACAAGGAGTTCATCTACCTATATAAATTCTTCTACTGGGTCACATTATTGGCCTTGGTATTCCTTACCTTTATTCAGTCAATTTAAGATTAAACTGAAGCATTTGATAAAAGTTTTTGTGTATAGGCAACAAAAGTTTAAAGATAAGACAGCTGAGACAAAGAATAGCGAAGAAACTTGGCTAAAGTTACACAGCTACACATGCAGAGCATACTTCAGACCTACGCAGTATGATCTTAGACCTTGCTCTTTTAACTACTATGCTATTACACCTTCTAATTTTTATGCTTATAATACTCTTTCTGTCCAAGGGAAACTATTCCCTTTATAAAGAAAGGGAGTTTAAAAATATTTTACCCACTTTAATAAGTAAACTATAGTACATAAACTTTTAAGTCTTAAACACAGGCCATAATAGTATCATCAGCTTGGCAAAGTGAGTCCTACCAAAGACTTACTCAGGGAAACCACCTAAATTCTACATAAACCTGAAAATAGCTTTTCTGGAAGGAGGTTTAGGAATATATATACATACACACACATATATACATTTTGTAAGAACACAGGATAAAAATTCATTTTCTATAGATATGTTCACTTTGCCAGGTTTCACTACATATGCAAACCCTAATTAAATAGATAAAATTTCAAGTTGGTGCTGGGAATGCATCTTACATGAAAATGTCTCCATCCAGTTATAAAACACTAAGAAAAAGTCCATGTTATTTTAAAATATTAATTCTAGAATATACTTCAGGTGCCATTGTCTCTTTTGGAGAATGAATGCTGGGCAAATGATATATGCTAAATGCATTTAGAATTGAAATTCTAGAATGCTAAATATAGGGGCTGATAGACAAGCTTCTTTGGTAGTTTAGGCAATTTCGTTTTCACAAAACTTACCTGGGAAACTGTATTATAAAGATATGAGACACTGAAATGATAACAGTTAATATATTTTTAATCTCATAATATATCACTATCATTGATAAATTTTTTAAAAAGGTAGTATAGATTGACCTTCAGTAATAAGGATAAAATTAGATAGAAATGATGCTTTCTGATGAGGCAGCTATTGAGTGTTCTTTCTTTTCATATTTAAAATTTCTTTCTACGTCTTCAATCACTTCTATCCTAAATAAGAAATAAAAATATCTTAAACTTAATCTGTATCATACAATTTATGAAGTATTTTTACATATATGAACTGATTTTATCTACACAACACTAATGGGTATTCTCACTCCTTTTATGGATGAAGAGATGGAGAAAGATTAAGTGCTAGGATAATTTTCTTCCTATTCTCTCATTTATTTGAAATGAATTATTTTATTACTGAAGATCTCATAAAACGATACTGTAGAGAAATTAAAGTCTTATGAATATTCAATAATTCTTTCCGATAAGGGATTATAGGTATTTAACTCTGGGAGGGGCAGGAGAAAGAAATATAGCTGTTTTTCCTTTGACTTATATTTTTTAATAATAATAGCCACCATTTGCTGAGTCGTTACTCTGTGGTAGGCTTTATAACAAACATTGAATGTACATGAGTGTATTTAATCATCACTTCCTAAGTGATGGGTACATTAAACTCAGATGTGGAAACTGAGGCTTAGAGATATTAATTTACTCAAGGTCATACATCCAGTAAATGGTGAAACAGGTCCCAACCCAGGCCATCCAACCCTAAAACCTGAGCTTTTCTATGTTCTCTGTTAATTCTTTAGAATACCACCACTACTACATTGTGTATTTTCCTTAGCTGTACTGTTCTGTGGCCCTTTCAAGGAACCAAGTTTTCTGTACCTTAGATAAAAATTAAATAACTTGAAAAAAATCTAGAACTACTTGTAGGCAATGGTTTGCTTTGTTTAGTTTTTGATAATGTTACGTACTGTGGAGTTCAGAATGGTGAGGCTATGAAAAGGCAAATATCAGAAACCTCTCTTACTGATGTTTATTTTATTCTATAGGATATGGCAACTGACAGAGATATAGGAGAAATATGATTGGGCAGCTATAAAAGATAATACTGAAAGAATCGGTGGGTTCTGATAGATACAATCTTTTTATGCAAGTTTCCTTTTATGAGTCAGGCTTAAGATGTGGCCAGTTTACTCCAATGATGTCTTACACATTATAGGGCCATGTGCTCTCATAAGACTGTTGACAGTGGCCTCAGACCTTAAGAAGCTTGACCACTGGGCAAGAGTTCCAACTACAGAGACATATATGGGTCAACTTTAACCCATCTGGAATATGGCAGAGCTGGGCCTCAGGCCCAAGTCTTTTGAAAGTAGAACATTAATACAACCAGGATCGACTTTAGGTGAATCACATTTACAGATTAACATGCTCACTTCTGAGCAGTCCCATTTCCCTGGACTTCAAGCACTCAGG